TATTAAGCATTTATATCAATTTATAAAGTCAAAATCTAATTAGAGACTATTTTAGATGATCAGATTAATATTTTACATTGTGAAAATTTTGGAGGACAAACATGGTTTTAACAGCCAAAATAAGGATGCTCTAGTATAAAACTATTGGCAAGAAAAAAAAAGTATAACAAGGCATGGTTAAAAATATTACACTGTTTTTTTTTTTAATATAAATTCAAGACTGTTTTTTTTTAATATAAATTCAAGACTGTTTTTTTTTAATATAAATTCAACACTGTTTTTTTTCTAATATAAATTCAAGACTGTTTTTTTTTCTAATATAAATTCAAGACTTTTTTTCTAATATAAATTCAAGACTGTTTTTTTTTTTTTAATATAAATTCAAGACTGTTTTTTTTTTTAATATAAATTCAAGACTTTTTTTTTCTAATATAAATTCAAGACTTTTTTTTTAATATAAATTCAAGACTGTTTTTTTTTTTTAATATAAATTCAACACTTTTTTTTCTAATATAAATTCAAGACTGTTTTTTTTTTAATATAAATTCAAGACTGTTTTTTTTTTAATATAAATTCAAGACTTTTTTTTTAATATAAATTCAACACTTTTTTCTAATATAAATTCAAGACTTTTTTTTTCTAATATAAATTCAAGACTTTTTTTTTTAATATAAATTCAAGACTGTTTTTTTTTTAATATAAATTCAAGACTGTTACAATTGTTAAAAAATATTACAAGTTAAAAATATTTAAACTTGTCGAATTTTTCATTTAATGCTCAATAACTCTTCGAGTCTGTTACTGTGGTGTTACCCCTCAAGCCCCTTATCCCAAAAAATCCCCCTTATACACAGCATTCGCGCGGTATACATATAAAATATCTCACCTTCAACTTAGCAATGATAAGCTTTCGACTACCACAAATACAGTTAGCGATTAAAAACTGTTTTTTTCTTTTGGAAAGGATTTAAAAGAAAAATCTTAGATCTAAAATTATAATAATCGTACGCAGCAGATTATTGTAGAAACATTTGAATAAATTATTATTTATCTGCTATATGTATGAAAACATTACTCGTTTTACACCTTCTATTAGTTTCGTGCATTTCAACAGCATACAACACACAAACTAAATTTCTACACATATACAATAAGTTTTGAATTTCATATTTATAATATATATACCCTTACACACTAAGAAATCTGTATCAAAACCAAAAATTAAACACAAATACGTAATTATTCAAAGACGACGCTCGATTTTCGAAAAAGATAATAAATCAAGCCGTCCTCCTTCTGTTCAATATGATAAACAGCTACAGTTGGAGATTTTGCAAAAAGAATGTCGGAATGTGAAAATAAGTTCTTGAAAAAATGACAGTCCTAACTAAAAATAAATCTAATTTCGTTTGATGACTAAACACAACTCAATAAAAGCGCACGATGACATAAGTAGAATGAAAACTATTAAATTGAACTGAAACGATCGACATTGACAAACTGAAATCGTGCGCCTTTGGTACGATTTTGTTGCAATGTTTTATTGATAACGAACAAATAACATCACTAAACACTAGAAAAGATTTCCAAAAAATTACATATAAACTTAATTTAGGTTGTAGGTTGGGGGCACACAGATGGACCACCATTTGCCGCCTTCTGTCTTGGATAGAAATAATTATCAACTTCCAAATTTCTTTAATTTAAATTTCGATGACTTTTATGAAATCTCATCAAGATATTTAATGTTAATTATAATTTTCAGTTTCATTCAACCAGCAACTGCCCTTGTTTTTTTTTATTAAAATTACCGCTTGTAAAGTAAATGTCACCAGGAATAACCATTTTACTGTCAAGTCATCAATTAATTAGCTGTTAGTTTTTCTATAGTACTATTTCACTTATCTTGTTTGTGAAATAAGCAAATTGTCTTGCTTATTGTTGAACTGCGGCCGTTGGGGGGGCAGCCGTGTACTGGTGGTAATAGGCCGCTTGCTGGACAGGAGCAAATTGACCGTATGGTACTGATGGAGGTGCCATTGATTGGAAGGCACAGGGATTGCTCTGAGCACCGCGACCGGTCTGGAAGAATTTGTTGCCTGGAAGGTAAAAGGTAAAAGATTGCTTTTAATATTCTTCTTGGACAAGAAAATTATGGAAATATAATAAACAGCCTTGAATTTATATTAAAAAAAAAAACAGTCTTGAATTTATATTAAAAAAAAAAAACAGTCTTGAATTTATATTAAAAAAAAAAAACAGTCTTGAATTTATATTAAAAAAAAAGTCTTGAATTTATATTAAAAAAAAAAAGTCTTGAATTTATATTAAAAAAAAAAAGTCGAATTTATATTAAAAAAAAAAAGTCGAATTTATATTAAAAAAAAAGTCTTGAATTTATATTAAAAATAAAGTCTTGAATTTATATTAAAAATAAAGTCTTGAATTTATATTAAAAATAAAGTCTTGAATTTATATTAAAAATAAAGTCTTGAATTTATATTAAAAATAAAGTCTTGAATTTATATTAAAAATAAAGTCTTGAATTTATATTAAAAATAAAGTCTTGAATTTATATTAAAAATAAAGTCTTGAATTTATATTAAAAATAAAGTCTTGAATTTATATTAAAAATAAAGTCTTGAATTTATATTAAAAATAAAGTCTTGGATTTGTATAAAAAAACGTGTTGAATTTATATAAAAAAAACGTGTTGAATTTATATAAAAAAACCGTGTTGAATTTATATATTAAAAAAAACGTTGAATTTATATAAAAAAAAACGTGTTGAATTTATATATAAAAAAAAACGTGTTGAATTTATATATAAAAAAAAACGTGTTGAATTTATATAAAAAAAAACGTGTTGAATTTTTATATAAAAAAACGTGTTGAATTTTTATATAAAAAAACGTGTTGAATTTTTATATAAAAAAAACGTGTTGAATTTTATATTAAAAAAAACGTGTTGAATTTTTATATAAAAAAAAACGTGTTGAATTTTTATATAAAAATAACGTGTTGAATTTTTATATAAAAAAAACGTGTTGAATTTTTATATAAAAAACGTGTTGAATTTATATTAAAAAAGTGTTGAATTTATATAAAAAAAAACGTCTTGAATTTATATTAAAACAAAACAGTCTTAAATTTGTATAAAAAAAAGTCTCAAATTTATAGAAGAAAAAAAAGTGTCATGCTCTTTTCTCAACACATAAGTCGATTACAATGCTTACTTAATATGCTCTGAATTCCTGCATCACTTCCAGCACCTGGAGCTCCGGGAGCACCCATAACATAAGCATGATGTCCATGATGAGCTCCGACGCCAGGAGCGGGTGCTAGCATACCATACATGCCTGCTGCAGGCTGTGGACTGGCATGGCCCTGAGGAACTGAAGCACCACCATTGGCTACAAATTGGGAATTTGATTGGCCATTTGATTGGTTACGGTTGTAGCGTGGGTTTGGTCCTCCTGATGGATTATAACCACGATTTCCTAGAGAAAAAAAAAGAAATATTAGAGAGAAATACTTGGAACAAGGATGTTAATAATATTGAGCATTTGTTTGGACTTACCATAATTTCTTGGTCCATTATTTTGATAGCCATTGCTTTGGTAACCATTACTCTGGTAACCACCGGCTCCATTCATGTTTTGGTTGTGATAGCTCTTCTGATAACCATTATCTAAAAAAAAAATTAAGTATAATTTAACATTCATCCAGATTTTAAATTCATTTTTCACTAGATGTAGTCTACAAGATTTTGCAATTTTTTTTAGAAAATGATATTTTACTATTATTATTACTTCTTGGTTGATATCCATTATGCTCCATTCCTCCTCCGTTGTGTGGATTGCGCATGTGGTTTCCCATTGGATTATTGAACCTGGGTGCACCACTTCCCGGTCTCATGGGTTGATACTCCTGATGACTTGGATTGATCCACTGGTTGTTCATCGGTTTTCCCATCATCATGGCTCCATTGTCCTTGTTACGGTTATTATTCTGCTGCCATCGGTTGCGCCCTGGCGAATTAAAATTATTTGTTTGCGATTGTGGCAATTGCCTTTTGTGAAAGTTAGATTTTGTTTGGTTTGAAGAACCTGGAAAACAAAACCACAAAACCAGTCTATTGGACTAAGTTATGAATAAAGAATTTTAATCTTTGGAATAGTAATAAATAGTGACTAAAAAAGTCACTAACTGAAATAGTAACTAAAAAAGTAAAAAAAATTTTGATGGTGGCTTTAGGCACTAACCTTTTCCATTGAATGATGTGCGGGCCATTTCCATGAGTGTTGGAGGTACACTTTGTCCTGCCTCTTCAAGAACAGCTACCAACTCACGAGCTTGTCTGCTGTTACCAGGAGTGAAGAAGGTGTAAGCAGTTCCTGATTGATCACAACGACCTGTACGACCTATTTAAAAACAAAAAAGATTAAAATAAATTTGCTTACAATACAATTATTCCGAATGTTAAAATAAATATTTGGATTCAATTCAGAAGATAGTTTCTATAGTAAATCAATAAAAGAAGATGTGACTATTAATAATATAACTCACCAATTCTATGGATGTAATCCTCAGATGAATTGGGATAATCGTAGTTCAAAACATACTTCACATCTTCTACATCCAAACCTCTAGCAGCAACATCTGTAGCGACCAATATTGAAGACTTTCCACATCTGAATTCATTCAACACATGATCCCGCTCGCCTTGTGACTTATCACCATGAATACAAATTGCAGCATATCCCTCCCTTTTAATTGTTTTTGTTATATCATCTACTTTCTTTTTGGTTTCAACAAAAATTATAATCTTGTTTGTACGTTCTGTCATAATTTCTCTTAACAAATTGGACAATTTTTGTTCTTTCTGAGACTCTTCACAGATCTCAATTATCTGTCTGATGTTGTGATTAGCAGCAAGATTCAGTGAACCGATGTTAATTTGTATGTAGTCATTTAGGAAGTCTTCTGCCAAAGCTTGAACTTCTTTTGGCCAAGTTGCAGACCACATCAAAACTTGTCTGTCTGGCCTGATTTGCTCAATGATTTTACGAATTTGAGGTTCAAAACCCATATCTAACATTCTATCAGCTTCATCAAGCACCAGATAAGTACACCTTCTTAAATTTGTGGTTCCACGCTCTAAGAAATCAATCAGTCGACCTGGTGTGGCTATGACAATTTCAACACCTCTTTCCAAATCGCGTGCTTGAGGTCCTTTGGGAGATCCTCCAAAAATACAAGTGTTGCGAATTGAATTTGAAGCACCAAAGTCACGAGCAACAGTTTGAATTTGTTGAGCTAATTCTCGAGTGGGGGCAAGTACCAATGCAATGGGGCCATCTCCTTAAAGAAAAATACAAAACCTCATTCACAAAAATGATATTGATAATATATTGAAATATTACCAAAATATATATGATGCAAAAAAATCTAAATTTTGCAAGCTCAAATGTACACTTGTTCAAATATATAAAAATCAAAATGACATTCAATACTATTTCAAATTGAAATTAATTTTAAATGAATATTACCTCTCTGAAGACGTTCTTGGTTGCTGATGTGCACAGCGGCGGGCAGCATGTAGGCCAGTGTCTTTCCAGAACCAGTTTGTGCAATTCCTACCATATCCCGTCCACTCAAAGCAATTGGCCACCCTTGTGACTGTATCGCAGTGGGTTCAGCAAAACTCTGTTTTCGAATCTCCCTCATGATATATTCTGGGAAATTGCCTTCATCAAACTCTTGATTTGGATTCGGTACATCATTGCCATTAACTGTGATTTCTTTCTCCTCCCTGTATCTGTCTACTTCCTCCTTGGTCCTGTCTTTATTCTTTGCATGTGGTACATAGAAGTTCTTCCTAAACGGCTGCATGTTGGCTTGACTCCAATCTGGTTTTTTGAGACTTTCACCTGGATTTTTTGCTTTCATACTCTGCAATTTGGGTCCACCAAAATCATTTTTTAACCCAGCCATAAACGTCTGACTTTTATTGGTATAACTTTTCGGTCCACCGAAATCTTTGTTACTGTAATCCATTTTAGGACCTCCAAAATCGTTTGGCATCTGTGGAGTCCAGCAGTTTGTCTGCTTACCGTATTGTTCGTTGCAGTCAGGACGTGGTCTGTACCTTAAACGAAAAATTTTAAGTTGACTTTCAAAGACCTCCCTTGTACTTCCCACATCTGCTCCGAATTGCGATACCCATTAAATTTTATTAATTTATATTATACCAGTGTTTTTTTAAAGATGTCAAAACCATTTTGTTTGTTCGAGCCGTATGTATGTTGATGTATTGCGTAAAAACAAAAAAGATGACATCAATGAGATTCTTGAAAAAATGGCGGACGAAAGGTGTCGATAAAAAAAATGAAATAAAAATAAAAAAAATCATACTTACATATGATTGTTCTGATTATTATACACACTATTGTATTGCATTTTTATAACTTTTTTGTTGCCAGTTCGAATGTCAAATATCAATAAGACCTATAAAGACAAGAGGAACTCATTAGATTGTCAGAGCCCAGCACTCGAATGTGACAATAAACGATGAGAAACACAAAGTAAAGACATGAGATAAATGAATAATAAACAAACGACGTCTGAAAGTAATAAACAAGTTGATTGTGCAGCAGATTTAATTACCTTGTTAATAAACCGGACCGCCGAACAAAACGATAATGGCAGAACAGACAGCAATGGCGAACAGCGACCCGGAGCCCGCAACCTACTCGTACTGGCAGCACTGGGCAGCGTCCATCTAGGGAAACAATCGGTGCGCTCGTGCGCCAGCGACAGCCGCACAGGTGCCAACCGAACGAGGAAAAATCGAACAATTTCGCGAAATTCAAATATAAGATTCACATCGTTTAGCACCACAAATTTCATAAATATTAACTCTTTGATAAAACCAAACATTATTAACACACAAACACAATAATAATAAATTTCAAATACTCTATTATAATTTTATAGAAAAAACTGTTTAGTATTTGATTTTGTGATGAATTACTGCTAAGCAAAAAGAATGATATTATAATTACAAATTTTTAATGTCCTTTGATGATCCTGAAATAAAATCATTAACATATTTTAATTTTTCCTACTATATTCTTATTGAACTATTTTTATAAGAGTATGCTAAAATTTTCATGTCACAATAGACCTTTTACGGTTTTAGTAAAATCATGTTATTAATTCATAAGTAAATTAATATTACAAAACAATTAAACTAATTAAAAGCCTTGCAAATAAAATCATAATCCTACTTTATTATCCAAAAGTACTGATAAGCAAAAAGAATGATATTATAATTACAAATTTTTATTAAGAATATCATTTGGTGATCCTGAAATAAAATAAATCAACGTATTTTAATCTTTCCTACTAATATTCTTATTAAACTATTTTTATGAGTATGATAAAATGTTCGTATCACAATAGACCTTTTACGGTTTTAGGTAAAATCATGTCATTGATTCATAAGTAAATTAATATTGCAAAACAATTAAACTAATTAAAAGCCTTGCAAATAAAATCATAATCCTATTTTATTATCCAAAATGAAAAAAAAAACATCAGATTCTTCACAATTACACAACTTGCATCAATCATCTTGTTCCAACAGACCAATAAGACTTTCCGATTATATATCCATTCCCTAAAATAGATAATTCAAATCAATATATATGAATTAATTTAAAATTATAATTAGACTATTATTATTTGCTATTGATTTGTTTTTGTTTTGAATTTTTTAAAATAAAAACTAATTAATACAAGTTTGAGATTTAATATTTATTAATGTACCTAATAAATAAAATTATTCTTGGCAATAACAGACACAATCAATTATAAGATAAATTTTCTTAAAAAAAAATTATACATATATACACTTCATATTACACAAAACTAACTATCGCTAACAAGTCAAGCAGAGTATGTATGTTTAGCAGTATCTCCCATTTTCAGTAACCACCAAAGTTATGTCTAGGCGGTGGTGGCGGATGGTTTCCCCTGAACCTCATTCCGCCACCGTAATTGCCACCGCCTCCATTGTAATACGGCTGAGGTGGTGGTGGTCCTCCAGCTCTTGGAGGCCCATGGAATGCCTGTCGAAACCGAGGAGGAGGAGGTCCTCCTCCCATCGTAGGTGGCGCAGCACCCATCATCGGCGGACCGTTATTGTACCGATTGCCGCCGCTGCTATTTATCGGCGGCATATTTGGGTTCATCATCATCGCCGCCTGTGACGGAGGAGGATAATATTGCGGAGCCGGTGGACCCTGCGGCGCCTGCGACGGATGTGCATGACCTGCAACCATCCTTGGAGGTTCGCCGTTAGGTGGCGGCGGTGGAGGAGGCATAGAAGGCAAAGGAGGCATGTGATTCGTAGGAGGAGGCGGAGGCATGTGACTGTTTGGCGGTAAAGGAGGTTGTTGTTGCATTGGTTTAGTCTGCTGGTACTGTCGAGTGTCATACATATTACCACCATTTGCTTGGTATGAAGATGCTTGTTGTTGAGAATTCATGCTTTGCTGATACATATTTTGATTGTACATGTGATTACTGGGAAGTGGTGGCTGAGGTGGAGGAGGATTGTACATTGTGTTTGGCAGTGGTGGTTGAGCTGCCATACTTGATTGTGTTGTGTAAGCATTATGGTTACTCGCCTGAGGCGGTTGTGGTGCATAACTATGATGACTACTCGTTGGTGGTTGAGGTGTATATGTATTATGATTACTAGGTGGTGGCGGTTGTGTTTGGGATACATTTGGATTATACATTGGAAGTGGAGGTTTCTGTGGTGGTGCTTGAGGTCGATTTGTACTCTGATTGTATATGCTGCTGCTAGTTTGTCCGTTACTAGAAGTTGAGAGTGGTTGTTGAGTCTGCTGTGACTGTCGTGCCGTAGCGTAATTTGATTGTTTTTGTTGTTGTTGATGATGTTGTTGCTGTAAGTCATTGAAATTGGACATGGTCGACGGCGGATGCGCTGATTGTTGTTGTCGATGGTTCTGAGCCACCGACTTATCATTGCTCATCGTTATTGTTGATGTTGTTGCGACACCAGAGGTAACCGCTGATTGCGGCTGACTAGTGTGCTCTGTTGACTTGCCTGTTGTTTGCCTGTCGCGCGATCTTGACCTTGAAATCGACCTGGACCTCGATCTGGATCTGGACCTGGATCTAGATCTCGATCTCGACCTCGATTGCGAATTAGTTTTGGATTTCGACTTTGATCTAGACCTACTCCTGGTCTTGCGCCTTCGTTCGACGTTTTTGCGAGTCCTGCGGTCACGCGACCTGGACCTGGTGCGCGATCTTCTGCGACGGCGGCGGTCGCGTGAGCGATCCCTAGATCGATCTCTGGAGCGATTGCGAGAGCGCGAACGCTGCCGCCTGTCGCGGTTGCGGGAGCGAGACCTGGAACGCGACCGGGAGCGGGAACGAGCGCCTCCATTGCCACCGCCGCCGCCGCCTCCTCGACCTCTATTGCCACGGCCACGATCTGGAACGGATCAAAATAAGGATGTGTAAATTATCGATTCAAATTTAGAAACTAGAGGTGCGCATGGCATCGTGCCTTAAGGCCAATTGCTGAAACTTCCCGTACCAAAAATATATATTTTTTTAAAGGATTAACATTTTTGAAACAAATTTACTCTGAACAAATTGGATTTTTGAGAAACTATAAATTTTTGATAAAAATTTACTTTTTTTGACAAAAAAAGATTTTTTAGAAGAAAAATTTATTTTGAAATATTTTGGAAATTCTGAACTTTTTTTCAAAGCAATCGTATTGCTTTAACTGCATAGAGACGATATATCGAAGCGCGTAAGCCGTCTAACGGATAAACATCGGTACGGAACCCATAGGAATGTAAACAAAATTCATACTTATTGTTAAAATCTCTATAAAAATATCTAATAATTTGATGTGCATATGTCTAATGATTATTTTTGACCGCTTAATGGCTTTTTTTTTAACTTCCCGTAGGGTAAGTTATTGTAATGGGCCGAAAATCGGAATTGAAAATTTTTACATTTCTCGACGTTTTGAAGGTTTCTGAACATTTTGGCATACCTCAGAAAAAATAGATGTGTGTGTGTATTGATTTTGGGTTTTTTTTTTTAGTTTATTTTGTATATCGAAAATAATTCAGATTTTATTTTTATTCTGACTAAAGTTCTAATATAACTTAAACAAATAATTTTAAATTCGCAATTCAGTTTAAATAATTATTATAAATATTAGACAATGTTACAATATTTATAATAATCTATTTGAAAACCTGCCTTCGCCTACCAGCACGTCTCCTTATCAGTACGAATCGAATGTTTTTTGAATTATTCAAATCGCTTCATCCGTGTTCCCGAAATCGTCGACGAAAATTTGTATCCGCACACACACACACACACGCACACATACATCCATTTTTTCTAAGGTATTCCAAAATGTTTTGAGAAGGTTTTGAAACGTAAAGATATATAAACATTTTCATTTTTGATTTTTTTGCGATTACTATAACTTGCCCTACGGGAGGTTAATAATATAATATAACAGATCTAACAACTTACGTCTATGTCGGCCATTTGATCCCATATCAGCCATGTCTTGTAATTTGGGATTGACGACCTGGTTGGCCTCGCGCAGAACTGCCACTAAATCAGCAGCTTTATTAGAATTCGCAGGAGTGAAAAAAGTATAAGCTGTACCGGTCCTATTCGATCTTCCTGTTCTGCCTATACGATGAACGTAATCCTCCGAGTTGTTTGGATAGTCAAAGTTTATCACAAATTTAACATCTTCCACATCTAAAGATCGATTAAAAATTATATATGTTAATATATGACATAGAATAATAAATTACGCAATTTCACAAATATAGTCATGGCATAATTTTTTTTCTGTTTCTTCAGTTTTGACATTTGTATAAGTAAACCGTATTTGCCATGCATAAATTTTTGAAATCGCTTTAATTAATTATATAACCCTTGTGCTTAATAAGAAAAAAAATAAGGACAATATTGACAATCCTTGACATAAGTAATTTACACCAAACAACCTAACAATAAGATTTTCAATAATCCAATATTATATATTAGTATATGAAAAAAAATATGTTAGTAGATTAAATAAGTATTATATAAAAATAACTATTTAAAATATATAACTGACGCTTTTATATGTTTAAAATAGTTTAAGGTATCGAATAAAGAATTCAGTAATAAATAAATATTTCAAAAAAATGATTGTAAACTTTCGTTTGTTATATAAAAATATATATTAAATCTTATTATTATATATATTATATATTCTATGTTAAAAGTACAATCTTTGTTAGTAACTACATAATTTTTAAATGTATTAATATTATAATTGATGTAAGCATATTCTCAAAAAAAAAACAAATATCACTTAAATGATAGCTGACATCAAAAATATTAATTTGTCATGATTGAGAATATGGGGATTTAAATGTTTCATGCGATGTTGATCTCATTTCAATGTTAATTAACATTGGACAATGTTATTGTCAAAAAAACTGATAAATTCAATTAAGATTTGTGTAAAACCTATTTAACCCTTTCGCCAAGAGATTAGAAGAATAAGGCTTTTCAATCAATATCATCAAGAACGTACTTGAAGAAGTGATAAATATTGAAGCAAAACTCGATGCACTAGGTGTCGTCCATGGACGACACTCTTGCAAAAGGGTTAAAATAAAAAATTGACCTGCACAAAAAGAAATAAGATCACCATCGCACAAGATGATTCTCTAAATTTTAAATGTTTCCATTATTATTACTATCCTGTGTAGCAGTTTTAAGTGTGTGTCTATATAACTAGATGTGTCTCTTACGATGGCATGGGGGCACGACAGTTAGCAGTAGTCGTGCACACTGCACAGACAAACATTATCCGTTCTGTCGAGGCACACAGAGGCAGCGAACGAATCTTTTTGACCAAAATGCATTCGACAAATTTTATTCAGTCTAGCATAAGGGGGCACACGTACACGTACACGATTCCAGTCACTTGTAGACGGAAGAAGAAGAGGCAGTAGTAGGAGCCACTTTTAACAACTACTGACTGACTGACACAGACAATTGGCGGTGCCTCACACTTATGCTTATATAAAATTCGTTTCTCATTTGGTCAATGCGATTCAAATAGCTCGCCCGAGGTTGTGCCTCTGCAAACAGAAAAACCAGACGAGGTTGCGCTTACAGTGGTAAAGAACAAATAAAAAGGATCAGGAAACTTAAATAACAGATATCTAAATGATATTGCATTAATTTCCATATTTCTTTGAACATAATTGTGTATTAAATTAACATAAGTCGGTGGTTTCCAACAAAAAAAATGTTTCGTTCCTTAATCTAATTCCACAAATACTCACCTGATATTATAATTTTTCAATGACCCACATAATTAATTATATAAATATATAACCATTATACTAGTTGTAAGTGGTATTTTGCGTTAATTGCTTATCAAATATTTAGATAAAATTCTCAACAGTTTATTTTGAATAACCTTTCCGTTTTCTCTAAGAACTAATCAATACGATTTTTAAATCAAACAGACTTAAAATGTCTATAAGTGTGTTCTAAATTTTACTATTATTTAATTTTCAACCAACAAATATATTCGTTTAGACCACGAACTCTACCTCCGTACAAACTTGCAATAAAATCGTCAAAAACTTTAAATTCAACAATTAATTATAAAAAAATCTGGCCGGACAATCTTTATGAAGAATGAATCTGGTATTTAATTTTTCAAAATCGCACGAAACTTAACAGCTAATTCTAAAGAAAGGCTGATCGGCTTGCAAAACTAATCAGCCCCACAAGTTGGAAACCACTGACTTAATGATCATCATAACAAATTTGAAACTAAACTTTGTATATATTTAAAAAGGTAACAATATTTGTGGGTAACCCATAATTTACATAACTAGTCAAAATTCTATTTGCTGCAAATATTTAAAGTTTTCATATAAAAACTATTATTTTTATATATGAACAATGAAATAAATATTTGAATATGATAATTATTCTAATTTATAAACGTAAATAAAGAAATATATGCCGCAATACAAAGTTCTAATCGTATTCAAAAGAATTCGAATAGCATTGCTTTAAAATACTTTAAATTTTAAAGTATTTAAAAAACCCGATAGAAATCTCTTATCAAAGTACTAAATAAAAAAACATACATTTGGTGCAGTCACAACACATGTTAAAAAGTATTGTGGACATAATTTTGACACAGTTATATAATCAAGTTGGTGGCATAAATGCTCACCAAATCTCCTAAGAATTTATTTGCTCAAAATTAAACCTTTTAAAAATTCTCTGATTTCCCCCTTTTACTTTTAAATTCATTATAAAATAAACACATTCTAATAAAGAATGGCTTTTATAAATGACAATAAAACAGAAATGCACCCTTAAAATAGCAAACAAAACCCTTTGAATAAAAATTGTCAGGTTGCCATTACACAATTTAGTAAATTCGAATTTCTATATATATTTTTCAATAGATACCCTAATGTTGAAAACCAAAAAAAGACTGACTAAATTTAAAAAAACTTACAAAAAGCAGTAAAAGTAAATAAATCTGTCATAGACAAATATAAACTTTACAATATACTATTAACAAATTACTATGAACTGTCTTGCGAGTAGACATTTAATAAATAAGCACCTTAAAATTATTTGTCATTACAAAAAATAATGTTTATAATATTTCAAATAACACATATATGAAGTACTATTTATAAAAATTAAAAATAATTAAGTAACAATCAAATCAAAAGAATTTGAAGATTTAAATTAGAATAAAACTTTTACTTACCTAATCCTCGAGCTGCAACATCAGTTGCCACTAACACAGGTGCTTTGCCAGATCTAAAGTCTATAAAAGAAATAAACAATTATATTTATATATATATTTACACAATGAAAAAATTTAATGTAAAACTATAATACATACCTTGTAATACCCAATCCCTTTCATTTTGTGACTTATCACCATGTATACACACAGCGGGCCATCTATAACAAAAACACATAATTTATTAATTTACAATCCTCCAGGACCAAATAAAGTTAAATAATCATTTCCACACACCCGTCACGTTTCATTTTCCTCGTAATATCATCAACCCTTCTTTTAGTCTCAATAAAAATTATAGTCTTATTCTCTTTCTCAGCCATGATCTCCTTAAGTAAAGTACTAAGTTTAGTTTCCTTTTCATATTCCTGACAAACATCAATAATTTGCAATATATTATGGTTAGCTGCCAGTTGCAAAGAACCAACGTTGATTTGTGTGTAGTCTCTGAGGAACTCTTGGGCCAAATTCATTACTTCCTTAGGCCAAGTAGCACTCCACATGAGAGTTTGTCGGTCTGGCCTTATTTGTTCAATAATTTTACGAATTTGAGGCTCAAAGCCCATGTCCAACATTCTGTCGGCTTCGTCTAGTACAAGGTAAGTGCATCTTTTCAGGTTAGTACGATTGGTTTCCAAAAAATCCAAGAGTCGGCCAGGAGTGGCGATGACAATTTCAACCTATAAAAAATAATAGAAATGTTAAGAAAATGGCAAATATGAACCCTAGGTTTTTACACAGTATGTATTTACCCCATCCATTAAATCAGCAGCCTGAGGTCCCTTAGGAGCCCCCCCAAATATACAAGTGTTTCTTATGTGAGAACTTCTACCAAAATCTGTTGCAACTTGTTGGATTTGTTGTGCCAATTCTCTTGTAGGAGCCAAAATTAAAGCAATTGGTCCATCTCCTCTTTGTAATTTTGGTTGATGGTTTATGTGCACTATTGCTGGTAAAGTATATGATAAAGTTTTGCCGGATCCTGTTTTAGCTATTCCTACCATGTCCCGGCCACTCAAAGCAATTGGCCATCCTTGGGCTTGTATAGCTAAAAATATGTAATAAAAATATAACAATATATAAATGATGCATGTTGTTTAAGATGTTAGCAATTTATTACCTGTTGGTTTATCAAATCCAACTTTGTCAATTTCCGACATAACATATTCAGGAAAATTAGCTTCGTCAAAAGTTAAAACAGGAGCAGGAATGTCCCTTCCTTTTAATGTAATATCTTTATCTAATCTCCATTGTTCTATTTCTGATTCTGATCGATTTTTGACATTTGGATGTGGAGTGTAAAAATCTTTTTTGAAGGGCTCCAGCCGGGAAAGGTCCCACTTTGGTTTTCGAAGGCATGCACCAGGATTGCCGGTTTTTCTAGTACCAGCACCCCCATAACGTTCACGAGATCTGCTGCGGTCCCTTCTGCGGTCTCGGTCGCGGCTCCTATCTCTGTGAGAAAGGATAATTGAAATAGATGAACAAACTATAGGTAATATTTTATTGAATTAAATGTAGCTTGTAAAGGTTGAAGCTAAAACTGTATTGCAGTATCAAAATTGATTTCATTGTGAATATTTAAAAAAAAAAACTTGGATATTAATTATATATGAAGCAAAAACGACGCTCAACCCAAACGTCAAATTTATTATTAATCACTCACCTTCTACTCATGGTCATTATGCAGTTAATTTATCACTAAACTTTCATTAACAACTTACATTTACATCACAAATATTTATTTAAACTAATAATAAATAATGAATTAGAATTATTTAGTTATAAATTTAATATACTACCGATGTTCATTTTTTTGTTAAAAGAAAGATGGCGCCGGCGTGTTGCCAGATGAACAAAATCGCAAATTTGACAGCTCAAAATTATCCGTTGTTTTTCAAATACAATATAATACAAAATGACAATTATTCAATTTAATTAAAGATTCAAATCTTCTCCCAATTATAATATATCTATAAATCTATATTATAATTCAATTAAAATTAGTTTTAGTAAATTTAGGTTCCATAACACTTTTATATTAAATATTTTCATACTAATTGTGCTTTATCAAAACATTCACAAAACATTTACCATATATTTTTAAAATTAACTTTATTCATAGTAGATACACTCTCAATAATAATTAACAAATATTGAGATTCTATTAATGTGCCCCAAGCACAAAGTTCAAAATAAAAATTTCATTCAAAGATAAAATACTAATTACATAATATAATTATATATTAAATATTGATTATATTGCATATAATCTCCAGTGTTTCAAATCTATATCACATAATTTGAGATAATACATTTATGGCAAGATAAATTATATCTTGCACACATTAAAATTTCCTAATCGTGTCACGTATACATGCAGATTATATTAGTTTATTTTTGGTCATGTAATAAAATGAGATGCTAGTGTGTTAATGAAAAATGAGATGATATGAAACAAATTTTCCCTGTCCAATTTTATTCTAATAATACCCTTGGTATTGGTAAGATTGATGTTGGTTTTGCGGTTGTTGATAATGAGATTGTTGATATTGTGGTTGCTGCTGCTGCTGCTGTTGCTGGAAACTAGGCGGAGGCACTGAATACTGATTTTTCTCAGTAGTTTCATAGCCCAGCAAACCAATCGGCCTGGCTGTATTGGCAGTTGCAACTGTACCATTTGTCATATTGCTCCCAAAATTACTATTACCATAATTGTTATAATTATTAGCAGTTGGTGCTACATTGTTATAAGTCCTAGCACTATAACCATTGTTGGTTGGAGCTTCGTTGTATATGTGTGTATTATTCTTTGCTTTATACTTTGAATCTTTGCCAAACGTCTTGCGAGCCATTTCACTAAGCTTTGGATTCACTACTTGTCTAGCTTCTTGCAAAACATCAATTAATTCCTTAGCATGTCTTGCATTTTGTTGAGTGAAAAAGGCATAGGAAGTTCCACTTTGCTTATTCCTGCCTGTGCGTCCGATGCGATGAATGTAATTTTCTGATGAGTTTGGAAAATCAAAGTTTATCACAAACTTTACATCTTCTACATCTGTAAACACACACATAGAATGTGAATATTAAATAATAGTAAATTAAATGATTAAAAATTATAAATAAAATGTATTCAACACTATGCGCTATCTGGCTCAAAAATAGTTCCATCATTTTACAATATTTAAAGACTCATTACTTACCTGCACACATAAAATTTTCCAAACCTACCAAGAATTTCTTGAAGATAATTTTATGTTTAAAATAATAATAAAACTATTTCCTATATCCATAACTTAATAACCACAAAATATATAAATTTAAATAACTAAAATCAGTTTCACTAATTAAATGAAATGAAATATTCTGAAGTCACGTACAATACACTCATCAACCTGTTTCTGTAGACCACTGATAATGTCTCCATTTATAAAATAAATTTATTTAAAATTTATTATAGAGTTGACAACAGTTGCCTTCTGAAACGAGCTAGAAAATAATTGGTCAGTCAGATAATTAATATAATATTTAAAAAATACACATTATATTGTGTATTTCATTTAATTTTAGATAACATGATTAAACTCATGCAATCATGAGAGCTCAATTTCAGAATCAAATACTCAATATGAACACACAAAGGTTACAAGTTAAAATATAATAAAATAAACAGTAGGAAAATAATGTGCATGCAAATTTTAAGTATAAAAACTATAAGTGTGTTAAAAAAATGTTACAAAATGAACTCAAATACTCAAATACTTACAATAATTGACATGTACATAATTAATTCCATTTATCAGATTTACAGTGATTCTTTATAATGTTCACAAGTTCATATTTAGATTCTTAAAGCATAGAGCTTTCAGTACAAGCCGTTACCATAAACAGCTTATATAAAAATAAAATTTGTTAGTAAACCTTAAAACGATGATGAAATGATACAAATGTAGGTAAAAAATTTTAGAATTAAACTTGTAAAACGTCAGACTACTAATCCTAAATTGTTTCTTAAAAACAATATAAAAACTCACCAAGCATTTTAAGATAAGCGGTCTGACCTGAGAACATACAACAGTCAATTATTTATTATTAATCAATTATACAATTTTTGCTTGTATCATAGTCATCGAGTCGACAAAATGTTAATTAAAGGACTGACCACCAACAAAACTTGATACCATAACAAATTACAGTTATCATCGAGTGTAACTTTGTACTAGACCTTGATACTTCTGATAAAGATAATGTCAATTCGTTGTTTTTTATCAAATTCAACCATATTTACCGAGACCCCTAGCAGCAACATCAGTTGCCACTAAAATCTTATTGCGGCCGCAACGGAAGGCTGATAGAACATGATCGCGATCTTGTTGGCTTTTACCACCATGGATACTGGCAGCAAACAATCTAGGGAAATGGACATAGAATTTAATATTTAGTTTTCATAACTTTTTTATTTATTTATTTGTTATTATTATTATTACCCTTGTTTCATAATGGCTTTAGTGATCTCATCAACCTTCTTCTTAGTCTTCACAAAAATGATGGTCTTGTTTTCTTTCTCCAATGAAATTTCCCTCAACAATGTCTTCAGCTTTAAATCCTTCTCATGCTCAGCACAAACATCAACAATTTGTACAATATTATGATTTGCTGATAGTTCTAAAGAACCGACATTCAAATGTGTAAACTTCTGCAGGAAATCCTTGGCTAGTTTTTGAACGTCATTAGGCCAAGTTGCTGACCACATAAGGACTTGTCTATCCGGTCTAATATGGCTCATGATTTTGCGTATTTGAGGCTCAAAGCCTAAATCTAGCATTCTATCAGCTTCATCAAGTACTAGATAGGTGCAACGTTTCAAATTTAAGGTGCCTTTATCTAAGAAATCTATTAAACGACCTGGTGTAGCAATCACCATTTCACAGCCACGTTGTA